GTGGTATCCTCCCATGAAATCCATTCTTGTTTAGTGTTTTACGTATTGTAGATTCACTAACAGGGATGTTAGCATTTGTCAGTGACTTTTGTAAGTCTTTAGCTGACTCTATAGGATTCTTCTTCACCTCATTGAGCAGTCTGTGCTGTGCTCTTGCAGTCATCTTTACAGGACGGCCACTCCTAGGGAGAGTAGCAGCAGTGCTGAACTTTCTCCATTTATAGACAATTTGTCTTACCGTGAACTGATGAACAGCAAGGCTTTTGGAGATACTTTTATAACCCTTTCCAGCTTTATGCAAGTCAACAATTCTTAATCGTAGGTCTTCTGAGAGCTCTTTTGTGCGAGGCATCATTCACATCAGGCAATGCTTCTTGTGAAAAGCAAACCCAGAACTGGTGTGTGTTTTTTATAGGGCAGGGCAGCTGTAACCAACACCTCCAATCTCATCTCATTGATTGGACTCCAGTTGGCTGACATCTCACTCCAATTAGCTCTTGGAGATGTCATTAGTCTAGGGGTTCACATACTTTTTCCACCTGCACTGTGAATGTTTACATGGGGTGTTCAATAAAAACATGGCAACATTTCATTCTTTGTGTGTTATTAGTTTAAGCAGACTGTGATTGTCTATTGTTGTGACTTAGATGATGATCAGATTATATTTTATGACCAATTTGTGCAGAAATCCATATCATTCCAAAGGGTTCACACACTTTTTCTTGCAACTGTATCTCCACCATTATTACTAATATCTGACTATCATTATAGTCCATTGCAAAAATCCATAGTGCAATTTATCATTTTCTTTCTCCATCTTTACTATTTCCAATAACTATGAAAGTCAATTTTCATTTCTTTCTTAAAAGCTCTCTAGACCTCTCTATCAAGCCTACACACAGTAAGCTAGAATGCATATAATAAGAACCATCCTCAATCATTCTCAGAATCAAATAGTAAAGTGAAATGACCTCCATTCACAAAAGCCACAGTGCAATTCAGAGAAACTATGGCAACACTCCACCATCCCCAGTGAGAATTTTTTTTTTATAAAATACTATTATTTTTAATGTCTTTTACTACATTAACCTGTATTACTTTTTTTATTATTTTTTAACTTTCATTATCACTAAATTCCAGGTGCATATTTAATCTTTTTTTCTCTCCCCTTATTTTAATATATCCTATTTCCTTTGTATGAAAGTGAATACCAAGCCCCTTTTAGAGATACTCTATCCCTTAACAAGCCTATACACTATAAACCAAAGTACACATGATTAGTACTCTCCTTAAAAATTCTCAAAATCTAAATGTAAGGTTAACCATTCTATTCATAAAAACTTGTGAAATTCAGTGAAACCATGTTTAAGAACCCACCTTCAGTGACACAGAAAGGATTGAAAAAAAATGACTATAAATTTGAGAATCATTAATGATTTGGTTGCCTGTCACAAGCCTTTTCATTAGAGCCCACAACATATGAGTGGTTATAGAACAGTATTACAAGAGAGGTCCTTAAACAAAATTGTGCATTACTGAAAGGCTCATCTTTAGGAATATAATTTCTGGCTGCATTGTAAACCTTTTGCCAGAAAAAAAAAGAAAAGATGAGACTCCTGGTGAATCCTCTGAAATATTTTTTGTGACTTTCTTAATGCAATCTTCTTTTATTCCTTCCTGAATACACATATCTTCAAACAGTTCCATCATACACTTTTTCATCTGTGATTGATAATTTTTTTCTGGAATGCGTCTTATTTTCAGATTTTTTCTCTTCTGGTTCTGTCTTCAGTGTCTGTCAGTTTAAATTCAAGCCCCTCTATTTTTATTTTCTTTAAAAAATCAATTGCATCATTTGAATTTTTCAGATTAAATTCAAGACATTCAATTCTCTGCTCATTTGCTGTGATATTTATTCTAATCTGCTGTGTTTTTCTTTCATTTCTATAGAGTGCTTATCTAGCACTGTCTTAATTGATTTAGTTGTTTATCCGTGCTTCTTTGCATCTTTAATAATTTGGTCACTTATTTCAGTGATGGTTGAATATCTTCTAGCAGTCTCCATTTCTGTATTCAGTGATCCTCCTTAATAATTTAGTAGGCCCTCTTTATTTTTGCATGGTTGAGGGGAAATATAGATGTGATTTTTTTTCTCCTTTTTTCTTTGTAGCCTATTTTTTAAAATCTTTTTTCACGTTCATTTTGTTTCTCCAATTTTACTATCCATTTATTTTTATTTTCTTTCTTCTTCTTCTTCTTCAAAAAACAACAATAACTTTCTCCTCCACTAATTAAGACCTTGATCCCAGGAAATCTTGTAAAAACTTTAGGAGGCTTTAGAGAGAGAGTAAGTGTTAAAAATAATTCTTTAAAAATCTTTCTGTGTGAGCTAACCTGCAGGTTTTGAGTATTCAGTTAGTTTAACATACTTTTTTGCAGGCTTTAATTATTAGTGAGAAGAAAGTAAGGGAGTATATCTATCTCATATGATGTAAACTGATTTAAACTCGTAAAGGAAAATAGATGTCCAGTTGCAAAAAAAAGGCCTTAAAAGTCACAGCATGTCTTCCCTTCTTCTTTTTCTCCCCTTTCTCCACAAGGTTTTCCTTACTTCCCTTCCTCTTTCACACCAACAACCCAGTGAACTATAGCCAGCAAGGCAATATGGAATGTATGCCTAAAAAAAAAAAAAGTTACCCAGCGTAGTAAAGGTTAATGTGGCTCACTGTTCTGGTTTTAGTCCGTCCACAGATTTTAAGTGAGAACTAGGAAGTTGATCGCTCTACCAGGGCTCTCCTCTCTTGGTTCCCCTTCTATGGGTTCATCATTCTGCTGCAGCTGAGCGCACACCTACTCAACTCTTAGAGCTGAGCGCATACCTACTCAACTCTTTGCCTCCATTACTGAGCCACAGAACTTAGAGCATGCCTCAGATCGAGGGCTGTTGACGCAAAACACTCCCCTTGAATGGACACGGTTCTCACCCCTCCGCATCTTACATAATCCCATCTAACATGTGCAGCAAAAAAAATATCTTTGCCTGGACATAATAGACCTGTGAGTTTACTTTCTGTAGCTGGTAAATTATTTGAAGTGTTATTAAGAGATCCTTTTCATTAATGTATTGAGAAGAATATTATTAGCAAAAATCAGCATAAATTTAGGAAACAGAGGTCATGTCAAACTAACTATATTGTATTTTATGATGAAGTAGAAGTATGGATCAGGATGTTGCAGTGGATGGGATCTATTTTGGATTTTGCCAAGGCATTCAATAACGGTTCCATACAATAGGTTAGTGCTAAAAACTAAAGAAGTTGGTATAGAGGAAAATTATTGAACTAGGGTAGAACATTGCATAGGGTAGCTTAAAGACAGAATACAGAAAGTTGTCATTAATGGTAAATTATTTTCAAACTGGACAAAAGTGGTAAGTGTTGTCCCACAGGGTTTAAATCGATTTTCCACTTATTGTATATCAGCAAGCAAGGCAGCAGGGATTGGTGAACAGGCTATGTGACCTTCCATGACAGAATGCTAAGCCACCCATAATAAAATATGAGGAATTTGTTAAAAAATAAGTGTACACAGAGACAGCAGGGCACAGAGCAAGGCACAGAGGTTACCAGCTCACGGGGAAGAAACAAGGAAACAAGAGGAACAAGAAGCCTTTAAAACAGATCTAATAGATACAGCTATACAGGAGAACAATATCAGGATTTTGGTAGAAGAGGGAGTTTGTCCCTCAGTCGTGTTTCCCCCTGACTATTCCTTGAACATTTCCTTAGCTAGCGCTGGCTTCCTGGAGTCACATTGGAGTGGCCAGCTGCCTGAAAGAATATACTGTGTGTGTAAGGGTGCTGTGTGTGAGGGCGCTGTTAGTGTGATGTGTGTGTGAGGGTGCTGTGTGTGTGTGTGTGTGTGTTTGTTAGGGTTCTGTTAATGTGCTGTGTGTGTGAGGGTGCTGTGTGTGTGTGTGTTTGTGAGAGTGCTGTTTGTGTGTTTGTGAGGGTGCTGTTTGTGTGCTGTGTGTGAGAGGGTGCTGTATGTGTGAGGGTGCTGTGTGTGTGAAGGTTCTGTGTGTGTGAAGGTGCTGTGTGTATGTGTGTGCTGTATGTGTGTGTGTGTGCTGTATGTGCTGTGTGTGTGAAGGTGCTGTATGTGTGTGGGTGCTGTGTGGGTGCTGTATGTGTGTGTGTAGGTGCTGTGTGTGTGTGCTGTATGTGTAGGTGCTGTGTGTGTGAGTGTGTGTGGGGGATTGTGGGGGGTGTAGGTGGGGGCAGATTACTTAATATCCCCCCTCCCTTCTTACCTTTTGTAGGGAGGGAGGATTCTTGTTCCTGCTGCTTTCCCTGGTGGTCCAGTGGAGAGTGAACTCTAGCCTGTGGACCTCGCAAGAAGAACCCGGCAGAGCTGCTGGTTGAGCTCCCCGGGTCCTCTCCTGCCTCCCTCCATGCTGCAGTGGGGAGGGAGGCTGAGAGCAGAGCCGGCGCTCAGATAGCGCCGGCTCTGCATGAGCCGACAGGGAAGATCCTGAGATCTCCCCTGCCGGTCTCACTCCATAGGCGTGCCGCGGGGATTAAGGTATGCCCAGGCACACCCGTGCGCACGCCTTTGACGGAGCATCTGCTGGGGCCCTCACTGCTACTGCCCTGGTCAGTGGAGCCTGACTGGGTGAAGCTGGAGCGAAAATCATTGAGGTATCCAAAGAGGCCAGAGAGCAGTTCTTGGGGCCTTCACACCCATCATTTAACCTAGTTAAGATAATTCTGAACTGTCTGTATAAAACACTGCCAGATGACGCACACATTCATGCTCTATCTCGCGTATCTAAAGGGGAGAATATTTTACTGACACAGCTCAACACAAAGGAAGAGTTAATACAGGCTTGCGTCTGCTGTACTTTCATACCTGTATACCTTTCATATTATGGACTCATCCCTCCATACCTACAAGGTGTAAGGTATGTGGATGGAGGTATTTTGTACAATCTGCCCTAGTACGAACTAAAAAACACCATCACAGTGTCCCCCTTTTCTGTGGAAAGTGCATTTGTCTCGGAGAGGGAAAAAAATCTTCATGACCTCAACGTTACCAACACCAGCATCCGGTTTAACCTGTGTAATCTGTACCGGCTATCAAAGGATTTATTCCCACTTGAGCCCGAGGTATTGAAAGACGTGCTAACAGGGATACAGAGATGCTCTACATTTTTTAAAAAGCAATGGGATTCTAAACCGACCACCACTATGAGATCACTAGCACTGCCTGCTCCTGAAATTCCAGCCAAAGAGAATGAAGAAAGTAATGAGGAGAAGGAGCGACCATCAGAGAATGCAGAAGTGGAGGCAGCGGAGGATCATATATTTGAACACGTGCCACAGAGACTTATCTAGGCTCTCCTGGAAGCCTGTACTGAAAAACGCATCTCTCTATATCCAACATTCTACCTGCTCGCTTGGTATCAGTCATGATGCTTCCATAAACTCTTCCCCTGGAATTTGCAGTATCTTTCGCAGTCTGATGCCGAAGTGGCTTCCTGATATCCTGAAGACATACACTGGTTAAAATATCTAACCCAGAAAGTTTGTCACTTAATCCTGAGGAAGGCCATGAGAAGTGTAGGAAACCAAGTCTAACAAGTTGGTACAGGTCATCTTTAGGAGCACAACTATGACAATGGCCAATTTTGGGCCTTTTAAGGTGGCAGTTGCCTTCTTTGGTGATGATAGGAGGCTTGGCGGTGTTACCTATAACATCTCATGCTGACCATGGTGTAGTGGACCCAACAACTCTTGCCAGTAAATATGTCTGTGAAATATAGAAACTTAAATAATATTTTTTCTTAAGAGCTTTTGAAGGATTCTGAAACCACTTTAATGCACTATGAATGTTAGTTTAAAGACATTGTGGGACCAGTTACATTTTCCACTTTAATACTCTTGAGTACTGGGGCACTCTGTTACTTTACAAAATTAAATATCAGCCTGTTTAACATAGGTTAAAGCTGATGACATTCACTTAGACAAAGGAAGACAGAAACAAATTGTATATTTTAGTTTTGGTGTTTTGACAGCATCAAAATGGGAATATTAAAGGAACACTATAATGACAGGGACACAAACATGTATTCCTGACCCTATAGTGTTAAAAACATCATCTAGATCCCCCCTCCTTTCCCCCTCCCCACCTCTTGCAACCTTAAATATAGTAAATTCTTACTTTTGTTGACAATTTGTGTAACAGATCACCTGGCACCCCGTCTGGGTACCTCCATTGAAGGATGCTCCTAGCGCTTCCTGAGGGCTCCAAGCACTCTAGTCGACACCATAACCACTGCAGACTTCTTCAGAGAGAAAGACAGGAACAAGCTCTTACAAGAGCTTATTAATGATATAGCAAGAGAGTATGACTAGCATAGCAATCCTGTAACAGATTCCCCCAATAAGAGACGGCACTCCAAATTGAGGGTGAAGTAGAACTGCAGTTTTTAATGAAATACTCTGCTTTTATGCACATTTTACAAACATAGTACCACCAACAGGGTTTTGTAATACAACCAATAAAACACGTACATTACAGTAAAACACTCCCAGCAATTACACACAAATCCTCCCCTCTGCCTGTGATCTAATTACTGAACATAATGGGTTAAAGTAATTATCACAGGCAGGAAAAACACACTTTTTATACATTTACTGTAACTTTAAAAATATAAATTCAATCTGCATAAATAAGTTAAATATTATTAATCAGCACACTCAAAATACAAACATACCCAAAAATCATACAATTCCCTCCAGTAGTTCAAAAGTTAGTCGTAAGTCCATTTTCATGCCCAAAACACTTCCATAGATTTGGGCTGTGCGGTCGGTCAATTTCACAATGAAAAAATTCCCATTCGAACGTGCATTCGAATTGCTGAACGGGACTTAGTCTCTGTGGCTGAAAACTGAGCGGAGGAGAAGGTAAGGATCAGCGGTGTTCGTTGAAATGTGCAGCCGATTTCAGTTCCATGAATTTGGCTGCACACCGCTGACCGCGTTCGGCTGAATAAAGAGGGCCGCCGCTACGTGTTCGTTTGTACGAACGGCGGCCGCCCAGCGGTCAGCAATTTACCTACAGTAGGCTCCCAGCCTGGGAGGTAAATTGCCTGCATGCTTCCACTTCTGGGTGGTCCGCCTGTGTAATACTTTGTTCAGCCCCATTTACTGAACTAAGTGGGAGAAAGCCATGCACACAGGATTTTGAAGGACTGGGGACATAGTCTTAAAGGGGCATTGTCACACACAGTCTCCATACGTCCCCAGACGGTTCTTAAAGAGCCAGTACAGTCTAATAAAAGTCCAATAGCCCAAATGCTGCTCTTAAAGGGCTATATCTCCCAGGGACCATAGTCCCAAGGCATGAGGCTGGCAATCAGTCCCCTCCAAAAACCAGTGGCGAGGTCACTTTCGCCACAATGTGCAATGTCAATCAGCAGTGGCTAAGGCCAGTAAGGTATTGTCATGCATTAAAAAGCGCATTAATTCTCGGGATTAGAATATCATTTTGCCTCTTTATAAATCACTGATAAGACCACATCTTGAATATGCTGTGCAATTTCGGGCACTTGTTCTAAAGAAGGATATTATAACACTAGAAAAAGTGCAGAGGCAAGCTTCAAAATTAATAAAAGGAATGAAACATTTTAGCTATAAGGAAAGGTTAACAAATTTAAACCTCTGAAGTTTAAAAAAATATCGCCTGAGAGGGGTTATGTTAACATTATACAAATACATCCACTGCCAATGCAAACCATTGTGTGAAAATCTATTCACAAACAGGACTTTACACAGGACCCGAGGTAATGCGTTTAGACTGGAAGAAAGAAGATTTAGTCTAAGGCAAATGAATGTTTTGTTTTTTTACCATTTTACCATAAGAACAATAAGGATATGTAATTCTCTGCCTGAAGAAGTAGTTTCATCAGAGTATGTACAGATGTTCAAACAGCTACTAGATGCATACATGATATTCAATGATCTAATTTTTCAGCTGTAGGGTAGGGTAATAGCTTTATCCAAGGATAAATCTAACTGCCATTCTGGTGTCAAGAGGGAATTGTTTTCCTAGTTTGCTGCAAAACTGGAAGTGCTTCAAACTGGTTTTTTTTTGCCCTCTTTTGGATCAACAGCAAAAAACAAATGTGAGGAAGGCTGAACTTGATGGACACATGTCTCTTTTCAGCCTATGTAACTATGTAACTATATAATTCTAGTCTAATCTTCACATATATGGACTATTTATCACACGGACGGACCAATATCTGAGGATTAAATCCATATCACCACCATATATCAGTGAGACTGTTCCTACTTATACAACTTTCATATTTGGATAAACTTTGTTTTCTTTTATTTACTCGTATTATACCTTGGTTTTATTACTCGTTGATTTTAATTTAATATTTATTGATTTTAAGCGCAGCCCTTAACTCCTTTGTTTTTTCCATACTAAACATATGTTCAGGGTCGGCACTTCCTATAAGGTGACTTAGGCAGCCGCCTAGGGCGCCACTTAGGAGAAGGCGCCCTGCGCCTTCATCGCCAGCACCTCTCATGCTGCAGCCGCCTGAGCGCTCTATAGAAAGCCTCAGGCGGATGCAGCACTGCCTGGGCTGGCATGTCCATTAGGGTGCACCGGCCTGGGTGCACAAGTATGAGGGATCAGCATGAGGGATCAGCAGGAGGGAAGCACACATCGCTCCCTCCTGTCAGTCCCACAGTGTAATGTGGCCGAGCTCCTCTCCGGTCTGCGGTACAGGAACATCCGTTTCCTGTACCCGGTCGGACTGACAAGAAGTGCTTACTCAGTGTGCACTTCCTGTCAGTCTGGCCGGGTACAGGAAACAGAAGCTCCTTGTAACAAAACCCCTCAAGGTCTGGCCCTTTAACTCTGTTGGGAAAGAATCTGTACTTTTAAAACTGGCACTTTGGATACAGCCGAAAATGCCGAAGTAGTCGAAGTGGCCGTCATTCGACAAACGAACACGTGGCGGCGGCCATTTTAATTCATTCTAACGCGTTCAGCGGTGTTTGGTAATCGAGCTCATGGAACTAAAATTGGATATGCCACGGCACAAACACCGCTGAACTTCTACCTTCTTTGGAGCTTCGACACTTCGAATGGAGTTGAACGGCATTCGGCAATAGGAACGCCACATTAACATTGCTATTTGCACGAACGGCACCAGTCCATGCATTTTAACAGTATTTGAACTATGGGTGATAGACCAGCCGCACAGCTCAAATCTCTGGAACTGTTTTGGGCATGAAAATGTGCGGTCGGTCAAATATGACTTCCAGCTATCTCCCGAACCACTGGACCAATTCTCACGAATTTTGGATATGTTTGTCCCCAAAGTATGCTGGTTCTGAAAACATAATATTTTATTAGGATTGAATGTATAATTTGAAAGTTATAAATATTGTGTAAAAAGTATGTTTTCTAGCTTTGAAATAATTGAGTTGATACAGTAATTAACTCAATTATCTCCCAAGCAGAGGGGAGGCATTTACTGTAATGAATGGGAGTGTTTTACTGTGTGTCTGTAAAGGATTGGTTGTTACGTTTTTCAGTGCCCAACATGTGGGTGGTAACCTTGTGGGAAAAACTGTATAAATGCCCCTTGCACTCAATAAACCAGATCTTCTTACTCTCAACTTGTAGCCTTGTCTCTTGTTGTAGGAACAGCTATACCAGCTATATCACTACTAGCTCTTATAGAGCTCTCTTCAGCTACACTGCTACACTCTCTGGAAGGAGAGCCCCAGCTATACCCACTCTGCAGGACCTTGAGTTGGAGCTCTGCCGTGGTCTCCAGTACAGGGAAGGATGACACCCAGATGGTAGATACCCCCACTGTACCGGGGACCGTAGTGGAGCTTGACCACGCTACACAGGGTAGGGGAGGTCCACTAAGGGAAGGAAGGGGGGGTCAGGAGAACCTAGGAGGGAGGTTGAAGAGAATGTGGGGGGTCCACTAAGGGAGGGGGGTGAGTAGAATGTGGGGGTAGTCCACTAAGTTAGGGAGGGTGAGGAGAATGTCTGTGGGGGAGAGACCACTAATGGAGAGAGAGGAGGGTGGTGGGGAGACCACTAAGTTAGGGAGGGAGAGGAGAATGTGGGGGCAGACCACTAAGGGAGGGAGGGGGTGGGGGAGAGACCACTAAGGAGGGTGGGTGAGGAGAGACCACTAGGGGAGGGTGGGTGTAGAGGAGAGACCACTAGGGAATGGTGGGGGTGAGAGAGGAGCGACAACAAAGGGTTGAGAGAAGAGACCACTAATGGAAAGGGGGCGAAGAGGGGAGAGACCACTAATGGAAAGGGGGGAGAGGAGAGACAACTAATGGAA